TATCCGCGACACCTTAAAGGCCGGTCCGTGAAAATATTGTCGGGCATAAACCGGTCCGTGGCGCAAAAAAGGTTGGAGACCGCTGGTTTAAACCATTACAGTAAGAAGGGTTGGAAACCAGTTTGTCTGACATCTATACAGACATTGCTGTGGGAGCACCGTTTGATGGAGATGGAAAAGTTTTTATCTATAGAGGCTCAAAATCTGGAATTGAGACAAAACCTGCTCAGGTAAGTTTGCTTTGGATATGAGCGACTGCAAAGAAAGATTAAAGGTCAAAATCAAAAGGAGTGAATGAGAGAAAGAGATGGCAAAACTGAGTGTTCTTCATCCCATTAGGTGCTGGATGGCCGGGACTTTGATGTGAGACGTTTTGGATATTCTATCTCAGGGGGTTTGGATATCGACAACAATCACTACCCAGATGTGGCAGTGGGCTCGCTGAACGATTCAGTGGTTCTCTTCAGGTGAGGAAAGATTTTGGTTGAATTTTGATGACAGTGCATTTATCTAAGGGATGAAAACATATTATCAATAATTTATTAAAAGATTTCTTTTTTCTCGTCTTTTTGTGTTTTCCTGTGTCCTCAAGATCTCGTCCTGTCATCCACGTGAAGAGAGACATAACTATTGATCCTCCACAAATAGATTTGGAGCAGTCCAACTGCAGAGGCAGAGAAGGAGTCTGGTACTCACTCATAATGCACTAAACTTATAGGATAACTTAACCAAACAAACTGATAATAAAAACATGTAAAGCTCCTAAAGATCATGTCTTTTTCCCTCTTTGTGGTTTTCTGTTTTTAGTGTGGAGGTCAAGGCTTGCTTCACCTTCGTAGCGTACCCAACTCACTACTCTCCACACATTAGTAAGTCACACATCGGCTTTCACAACTGTTTCTGTCTTTTGCTCTCGCGGGGCTTTACATCACTCCCCACAGTGACAGGAGTCATTTCTATTTACGGTAGAAAGTAACCTTATCTGTGAGGTAACATTAGATCTTATTATGATTAAATCACAGCTGTGTAATACTGTACCTCCTCAGATGGGTTTAGTATATCTTCTGTCCCCGGTGGGTTCTTTAAGTGCTCTTTCGGTGTGTGTCCTGACATTTCTGCATTTCAACCCATCTGTCTCCCTCTGTGTGCTCCCCCATTTTACTCCATTCAAGCCCTCGTGGTGCGCTTTGAAGCAGACACAGAGCGCAGGAAGGTGGGCCTCCCGCATCGCGTTACCTTCCTGGGCCGCAGTTTACTGGAGCCGGAGTACACACAGACAGAGGAAGTGCAGCTAAATCGGCAGCGTCACGCTGTGTGCACCAACGCTGTCTTCCAGCTGCATGTCAGTAACTTAACTTCATGGATGTGTTTCTTTCTTTTACTGTGGAAGGCAG